GACTCTCTCTCTCTCTCTCTCTCTCTCTCTAAAACTAACTACTCTCTCTCTAAAACTAACTCTCTCTCTCTAGATTCTCTCTGAGAACCCTCTCTCTCTCTAGATTCTCTCTGAGAACCTCTCTCTCTCTCTAGATTTCTCTCTGAAGAACCTCTCTCTCTCTCTAGATTTCTCTCTGAAGAACCTCTCTCTCTGTGAAGATCTCTCTCTCATTCTGTGAAGAACTCTCTCTCTCCATCGATTTTTCTCTCTAAAGAAACTATTATCTGAAACTTTATGGCGGCCTTTGAAAACCACTCGAGAAAACCGCTTTTGAAGAAACCAACTTCTGCGAAGAAACCAGAGTATCGAAACCTAAGACGAAGCGCTTGATCGAGGAGTGAGGCGTACAAGAAATGGAGGAAAGTATCCACCAGAGAAAGGTAAGTTCTTCATCCGCTCAGTTCCTGGTTTCTGGTGCCGATTCCTGTGTTTCTTTCATCAAAGGCCATTCCAGTGCTCAAACGCACCTGAGAACGATCATAAGCACCATTTTGCTGGCTGGATCTTCTTCTTGTTCAGGGAATTTAACACAGCCCGAAAATTTCTTGGAAGAATCAAGTTCCCTGAAATTTAAGACTCAGTGGCCGGAAAACGCGACGGAAAATGAGTTTTATCGTCAGAAAAATGTTCTGGGAATCGACCTTAACCTAAGGCTAGGGTTCTGTGATGATAAAGGTGTCGGGATTATTGGAGAAGAGGGAGTATTATGTAGTGATTCAGCTTGGAGTGGAGTAGGAGGAGAAGAGAAATCAAGCGTCGAGGTCCATTACTCCTCTGTAGATTCAGGTCAAATTTCCGTTCAAAAAAGCTCGTCAGAAGGCGAATGCGATCCCAAATCCGGCCAAAAGTCACCGGAAAAAACGGTCGGAGAATTTTCCGGGGTCACGAACCAAGTCTCCAAACCAGTAATTGGAGAGAGCTTTAACGGAACGGATTCACGCCCCTGTTCTGATCAAACGGTCAGGATCGTTTATCAAGACGACCTCGAGCCTTCTGATATAGGAAAAAGCACACTGACTTTGACCTCTTCCTTTACAAAAGAGGGCTGTTCCCTTGAGTTTCAGAGAGAAGAGACTCGAGAAGAGGCCGATATGGCCGCTGGTTTCGAGTTCCAGAGTGAGAAAGTAAGAGAGTTTAAGAGAGAGAAAGTCCGAAAAGAAGCCATTAGAGCCTCTAGTTTCGAGCTTGGCAAAGAGAAAGTTAGTGAAGAAGGCTGTCTAGGGTTACTTTTAGAGGCTGTTCGTCTAGTTTCAGGTGATTTTGATGATTCATTGGACACCAACGACGGAGAAGAGGAGCAAAAACCAGAGGAAAACAGAGAGACAAAGGATCCTGCGGTCAAGATTGAAGCAAAGGCGTCGAGAAACAACAAGCGCCGTTGGATGGTGGATTTCTACTCTGGGTTCGAGGACTTTGAACTCGCTCCAGTCGTGAAGTCCAAAAGAGGAAGGAACCAGGTCCTTCCAAGAAAGTATAGAGACTCTGTTCTCGAGCCATGGAAGAGGCTCCCTCGCTAAGGTTTCAAGCTCAAAACCCTAAGGATCTCGCCTTCTCATTCTCCTTCAAATGCCGTCATATTCTGCGGATCCATTTCCGGAGCCGTACATTATCAGGTCGCCATTCTTCCTTTTCATTCAACATGTTATCAGTTAGGGTTTTATATTCTCCCCATAGGGATGGAGGAATTCGAGGACGCGATGAAAGAGAGGACACAGCTTTTCGTCGAGTTCAGTACTTTCAGAGGCCTGTCTAACTTCGAGGTATTTATTTTTTTACCCCTTTTTTAACCTCCGTTACATCCTTGCATTTCTTCTTTTTTACTGTTTATGTTAAAGATGATGTTATTGCTTTCGCTCAAAAGGCATGAATTCCTCGAATTTCTTCCGAAGAAACCCGATATTGCTCTCTCTCTCTCTCTCTCTCTCTCTCTCAGTAGCCTGAATTTCTCTCACTGTGGGTTTGAAACACAGACACTCTCTCTCTGCCTGCCTGAATTTCTCGTACTCTCTCCGGCCTGAAACACACATGCACTCTCTCTCTCTGCCTGCCTGAATTTCTCGTACTCTCTCCGGCCTGAAAACACACATGCACTCTCTCTCTCTACCTGCCTGAATTTCTCGTGCTCTCTCCGGCCTGAAAACACACATGCATTCTCTCTTCTCTCGCTGGGCACCTGAAATTCTGTCGCTCTCCTACTCTGTAGGCCTGAAATTCTCTCTACTCATCTCTCTGTAGGCCTGAACTTCTCTCTACCCATCTCATTGTAGGCCTAAATCTCTCTCTCACTCATCCTCTTCAGTCCTGAAATTTGGCACTCTATTCATAAACTGTCTTCTCTCTCTCTCATTCTCGAGTTTCTATTGGAACCTCATTTTTCCCTCTCTACGGCAGGTCTCTCTCGCTCTAGAAAAACGAATTGGTTGTTGGGTTAATATTCATGGTGCTATTTGTTATGAGGGATTAAAATATCTAGAGTTTGGATAATACTATTTTTAGTTTGTTAGACTGGCATATTATTTTTATTGAGGTCTTAATCCAAAAAAACGCATAATACAATCCAAAATTTTCGCTAATGCTTCAAAATGAATTCGCCATATTTAGTGGGATTATCAAAATAAATTCCAAATATTCCAACCAAAAAACAATAAACATGGTAACGCTATATTGAGATTTGGCATTTACATAGGTTTTTTCTCAAACGGTGAGGTTTGTATGAGGCGTAAACCTTATATTATTGACGTAAGGTGTACGCTAAAACTATGCTGAAAATGCGCTTTCGGTGTCACAAAGACTTGTGAGGATACAAAGATCTATTATTGTCCTTAATTATGAAATTTAAAGTTCTAAAAACAGTGACGATCAAGCAGATTTATAAACACTAAAAAATATTGACGGTCCAAATAATATTTTAGAAGAACTACTTTTAGGACTAAAAATCCCGTTTTTTCATTTATATGAATCTGAACCTGATCGAGATATTCAATTTGGGAGGTTTTTCAGCATAGGATCAACCTTCTCTCACCTTACTCGTACAATCTAAGGTTTGACACCTTATATAAACTTTTTCCTTTCCCAAAATGCAAGGGCTTTTGTTTTGGGGTGCAGTTATATGGTCAGATATTTTGCCCCCACTAATTTTAGCATTTTTCTTTTTGTAAAGTGAGTATCATACCAGGTACCCATTCGATATTTGGGGTTAAACACTTAAGGTCACGCGTGGGAATTTGCCTGTGTCGTTGCGTGTGGTACGAGAGAGAGAGCCGCGTTAATTGCGACATCTTGTTTGAAGTTTCTATAAGGCTCAGGATAAATTAAGGTATATTTTTTATAATATGTTTTTATGAAAGTAAAATAAAATCTCACCTTAAATCCTCATCTATTTTGTACTTTCAGTAACAAAAATATTTATGATGGATTTAAATCAATGAATTTAAAAAATGTCGGTACAAAATCGTTCGATCCGACCTAAAAATTTATGTCGGTACAAGATTATCCGGTCCGATTTAAGAATCAATCGACCTGTTCCGGTTATGCGTATATATAAAAAACTGCTGAGTTATTCAATAACGGAGTGCGATGATATGAAGTTTTCCAAGACACTTGTGTGAGAGAGCATTCACTTCACTTACTAACGAAGTGAGGACTACTATATGAATTATTCCAAAAAAAAAAAAAAAAGAAAAAGAAAAAAAAGAAGAAGAGAGATGGGGATTCTTCTATAAGAGAGGGGGGAACGACGATTTTGAAGTTTTATGAGGAAATCCAAAAATTCGTTGCGAGAGAGAGAGGAGGGCCATATCGGTTTTCCAACAAAAAACCAAAAAATTCGTTGGTGCGACGACTCTGTATACATAGAGAGGGACGCGAGAGAGAGGATTCTTCAACAACGAAGTGATGAGAGAGACAGAATTCTCAAACAATGTGAGGAGAGAGAGAGAGAGAGGGAGAGAGAAAGTTCTTGAAAAAACGATGTGCGAAACCCATTTAAGCTGTCTTGTCTTGACCGCTTCGACGACGGTCTAACGTTCTCTCACAAGAAAACCACAAAAAAAGAAAGAAGAAAAAAAAGAAAGTAAAAAGTGGACATGGAGCCTCATGCTCTAACCAATCAAATCAGATCCCACCTCAAAAATTTTACTAGGAAAGCTCGTTTTAAAGTCCAAATATCTTCAAAATGATTATCCGTATATCAAGATGTATAGACATAAAAAAAAATGGATTTCAATTTTTGAAAATAATGCATCTTGTAATGTATTTTTTGGACAATCAATATTTAAAAATTTCAAATTTGTATAGACATGCTCTATTTATATTATTTTTGAAGTTTTAAATTTTATAATTAAAAATAAAAATATATTTTAAAACTGACACAAATATTTTTAATATTAAAACCAAAGTTCTCGATACTATTTGAAAGTGCACTTTACTTTGATTGTTTAGATCCTCGGTTCTATACGAACGACATCAAAAAAAAAAACCTCCCTACTCAAAAGAAAACAGCAAAGTTTCGCTCCAAGCAGAGGATACACGGTGGTTTCTTTGACTGGCCTATGTAATACTCTATAAGCTTAATTTAAGATTTTTTCCTCTCACGTGCAAGACAAGCACGTGCGATACAGGTTACATAGGGATGGGTGGGTAATGGCCCGGATCGACGGGCTTGGGGTCCAGGTCTGGGTCATATTTATGTACCCCATTGGTCTGGTACGGGTCCAAAAGTATGGACCTGACATCAAGTCAAGTCGGGTTTGGCCTAGCTTCGCCCAACCTGCCCAACTTGAATATTTTAGATGCACTATTGATTATAATAATACTGTATATTATATAATCTACTATTATTTTATTATAGATTATATGATATAATTTTTAATAAACATACTATTATATAAGGAAAATTTTTCCATGTGGGTTAGACCTCATCACTACATTATGCGGTCCAAAAAGTGTAAAGCATCCATCTTAAAGATGGATGCTTGAGATGGATGCAAGCAGGTGTTCTATCTAAAAACAATGAAAACTAACAGTCCAAATGTTTTTTTACTAGAATTATTATTTCTAGTTTTCAAAATTTATTTATTTTTTCATATTTATGATCTCCATGTTAGATATTACATGTCTTTAAAAATTAAGTGTAAAAATCCATCTCAAAAATAGATTTATTAATAGGCCCGTATTTCTAAACTAACAGTCTAAATGTTTTTTTACTAGAATTATTATCTCTAGTTTTCAAAATTTATTTATTTTTTCATATTTATGATCTCCATGTTAGATATTACATGTCCTTAAAAATTAAGTGTAAAAATCCATCTCAAAAATAGATTTATTAATAGGCTCGTATTTCTATCTATGTGGGCTTGGCAGCATAGAAACCGGGTCCATCGTATAATAATATCTTATCATCAAAAGATCAAAGGAATTCTTTTTAATAAATGTACTATTATATTATTTCTCACTCTTCGCTTTGATTATTTTTTTCGAGTTAGGGGTGAGAGAGAGAGAATTCTGAAAAATAAGCATTGACCTTGCTTGGTCCAGATAGGGTCTAGGTCACTTGACCTTGATTAACCAAACGGAATATATTACTATAAATTATTTATAAATACAATTAATTATATAATATAAATATATAAAATAATTTATTAATATTTTTTATTTATAGACTTGGATCTGGCCGAACCCAGCCCAAATCGTTGGGTCGAGTCTGAGAGCGGGTCCGAGTCTAACTTAGACCTAGACGGATCGGGTCTAGGTCCCCAACCTGATCCACCCCTACGAGTTATGCCACTATTGGGCTTGTGGATAGACGGCTACGATTCGGAGATTCGTGGTAATCAATAGGAAATGTATACAATTAGACCATTTACTTTTGATATTAGGGGGTCACAATTTTCATTGACTATTAGTTTTGAAATTGGGTGGTTGATGATGTGTCATTGTTTAAGCACAAAATCCAAAATAAATTTTTTTGAATGTTGTAACATATTTTTACCTATTGGATTTTACATCTAATGACACAAAATGATTGTGACCGCCTTGTGCTCAAAATAAATGTTCTCATAGCATACAATCCATCTTCACTTGTAAGCTTCTAAAATGATTTTAAAGGTGTAGTTTCTATAAACCCTAGGCTTTGGGAAAACATAGTAAAGCCTCACTTTGAATTCTCCTCTGGAAAACACTTTGAGTATTTATGAGAGCTATAAAATTAATTTTCGACACTTACTATAAAATTTGAAACAAAAAATAATACAGATCTTGCAAATCTATGAGCACTCATTCTTAGGGAGAATCAACGGGTTAGATAATGCGTTATAATATAAACTATTTTTAGTGCTTGAAATCTTATTTATTTTCATAACCACAATGGTCAGGGCCAAGATGATCGATCTGAAGATTTTTCGATGTGAGAATTGCCATCTTTGGTTAGTTTTGGGGTGAGCCTTTTCTTCTTATGATTGGACTACAACCCTCTCAAAACATTTTCCTAATTCTAAAGGATCAACTTTAAAACGTTTTTTATTTAAATTGCCACTAGGATTGTCATAGGGTGGGCCGCCTAACTCTAAGCTCGGCCCAGGCTAGGCCCAAATTCATGATGATGAGGCTTGACCCCCAAAATATGCAGCTAGCCTGGCATAAATATATGGATTTTCTTTAAAAAAAAAGTGTATTAAAAAATTGGATAAATATTAAATAAGGTTGCAGCCTTATACTATAGAAGTAAGGTTCCCTCAAATATCTAGTACAAAAGAATGTGTTAAAGTTGCAAAACCTTTAAGCGATCATCTCAACCTCGAGATTTATGGATATTAAGAAAAAGAATTTTTAGTACTAAAATTAGTGCATCTTAACAAGTCTTCTCTCTATTTCTAATTATTTATAGATTTGCTCGATCTTGAATGATTTTTAAATATTAAATTTCATAATTAAGATTCAACATGGATTTTCAGGCGTTTGCCACCTTATGCAAAACTCATTCTAAAAAAATTTGGGGTGGGTTCAGGCTAGACTAGAATGCCTAAAAATTACTTGAGCCTACCAAGGCCAACCTCGGCCCGGCTAGCAAGACTTAACATGTAGCTTGATCCTAGGCTGGAACTGGGCCCTGCCTAAGGGTGGCAATGGGCTGGGGCTAGGCTGGGCCGGCCCTGGCCTTGGTCCGGCTCTTATCCCTATAGGACTAGCTTTATTAGGGCCAGGTCAGGCCAAAAACAAATGAAGAAAAAAAAAAAAGTTCAGGCTGGGCCAACCGGGCCAGCACTAGCCCTGGCCTGGTCATCGGGCCATGGTTTGTAGCCAAGGTCTACTTTTTTAGGGCTGGGCTGACTGGGCTGCCTTGCCAATTGCTAGCCCTGTCCCCAGACTTGTTAACAATCCTTACTGCGGTACAGATCAACAATCAAGTTTTATGGCTGAATCTGTTGGTAGAATTTGTGAGGAAAAATGCATGTGCTAGTGTGCGAGTTCGAGCTTGATTTTGAAACATTTTCTATACAAACTATATTCCAAACACTCTTGAATGCAAAAATATGTTTGTGGTTTTTTACTGGAGCAACTTTTAACTGCAGAAGAAACCTCAAGCACAAGCATCACGCCTTCATCTTTCACTTTAGACAAGTTGACATGATCAGTGATGCATGTCCTCTTACTGTGGATGGCTTTGTTGATTTTTGACATAGATTGAGTGAGCTCAAAAGTTGGCTTCATATGTAAATTTTCAGTCACTCAGTACTTTTTGTCAGTACTTTTCCTCTTAATACCTACCCACTTAAAGTGAGTAATAATGGAATATTGTGAATGCCCTCGCTATAAACAACTATCATTTCTGTTACAAGAGTCTTAGAGAAATCTTATTATAGAGAAGAAACTGTGTAGGAACTT